CCATTTAGCCCATCCCCCCTCCCACAACCCCTCTAGTAACGCTCAATTTGTTCTCCATATTTCAGAGTCTCTTATGTTTTGCCCCCTTCCCTGTTTTTATATATTTTTTGCTTCCCTCCCCTTATGTTCATCTGTTTTGTATCTTAAAGTCCTCATATGAGTGAAGTCATATGATATTTGCCTTTCTCTGACTAATTTCACTTAGCATAATACCCTCTAGTTCTAGCCATGTAGTTGCCAATGGCACGATTTTATTGTTTTTGACTGCCAAGTAATACTCCATTTAATACATACATACCACATCTTCATTATCTATTCATCCATTGATGGACATTTAGCCCACATTCATAACCACTAGCTGTGTGTGTGTGTTTGTATACATATACATATATATATAATATAAATCTATAAATCTATACATATTTAAATAGAATTTTTTCCATCAGGAACCCTCTCCCTTTTCTTCATCTTCTTTCCTCCTTTATCTCTTCATATTTAATGCATATTTATTCTTCACCCATCTTATGCTTTCAGTTTTTCTCCTTTCGCTGGCAAATTTCACAATGACTACATAAATTCTATTCAGTGTCGAAATTTCCTTATCTTCTGCACACTCTCAATTCATTTCAAAATAACATTTACTCTCAATAGTCTTTCATAGTATAGCAATTTTTCAAAGCCCCACAGATTATGATTCAGTAAATCTGTGATGCAATCCAATTATTCTTTTTTTTACAAGTACCTATTGTGGTTTTCTCTATTTTTTTTCTTCAAGCATGTTCATTTTCAGTTGTCTTGTCACAACTTCTTAATCTTCTTAATGGGTTTGTTTTCATCTAAGTTTATTTTAAAACCAGAATTACTGTGTCAGCCTTCTCTCACCTCATTTTTGGCTTCCTTTACTTATAATCCAAGACTCCAAACAACACCTATGGAGAGATGCTTCTCCAATCTATCTCTTCAATCACGATATGTCTTCTGATTTCTGAATCTTTATATGAAATGTGGATATCCCTCATTAAATTCAATATATATCAATCTGATCTCATTGTATGTTTTATGCCAAACTTCTTTTCTGTTCAGCATCCTAGTTAATGGTGCCACTAAATCAAGTGAGATACCAAAGATTGCTAGCTATGTTCTCCTCACTGACCTCCCACACCCAAGGGACCATTATCAATTACATCTCCATAACAATTCAGAGTGTGTCTACTTTCCAGATTGCTTTTTCCGTCTTTCATTGCTGTTTCTATCATCATCCATGACTCGGATTTCTTTGACTGACAATGTAATGCTTTTTCTTATTCCAAATTTTATCTTACATTTCTAGTCCTAACATTGCTAAAATAGTTATAATTTTAGGATACAAATAACTGTATCCCTCCAACTAGCCAAAATTTTCAGTGAGGATTCCACCCTTCCATAGTTTGAATGTGACACTTGGGCTTTTGTGATTTGGACTCTGTGCATCTTATTTCATGGCTATCCATTAATCTCTTGGAATTTAAATCTGTTCACACAAATCACTTATGGATATGCAAATTAATCCTGCAATTGTGTAGCTCTTAGTGGCTGGAAAACAAAATGGTATAGCCCCTTTGGAAGAAAGTTTATCAGTTTCTTACAAACTCAAATACAATCTCAACACAGGAGCCAGCAATACCACTAATAGGTATTTACCCAATTGATTTGAAAACTTATGTTCACACAAAAACATGAACACAAATGTTTATAGTACCTTCAATCATAGTTTCCCAAACAAGAATCAACCAACATGATCTTCCATAAGTGACTAAAGTATGGTTTAGGATAAAATATCATCCAGCAAATAAACAAACAAATAAAAGTGAGCTATTATGTCGCTAAAAGATACCGACATATCTTAAATGCATGTTAATAATTTGAAACAATTCAACCTGAAAAGACTACATAGTGTATGATTCGATTAAGTGACATTCAGGAAAAGGCAAAGCTATGAAGACAGGAAGAAAGTTCAATGGTACACACAGATTTAGTGGTAGGAGGCGAATGTGGAAACAACAAAGCAAAGAGTTCCTCTAGGACAGTGAAATTACTTTGTATGATATTTTAATGATGGATAATGACATGCACGCTTTAATTCTATAGAAATTTGTAGCACAAAGAGTGAGACTTCATGTGTGCAAACTAAGAAAAAACTCATTGGAGATTGCTGGTCTCAGGCAGGAATGTCGATTGTGACAAGAGAATCTAATTGTATTGCAAATGTGTAGAAGGGTGTTGAAGGAAAAGGTGCTTATCAAGGTAATTTTGGAAATAGTTTGTGAGACTAAAGACAAAAGGAACCACTCCTAGGCACTGTTTTATCAACTTCAGTTGATAAAATTGTGTCCCAGAGTAATTTGGATAAGTATTCTAATACCACCATATAAGTATACTGCTATTGGCCAATTCCATGAACAGATGATAGAAATCACATTTCTCACAGATGGAGTGGGGATATACAGATAAGAAAAAAAAAAAAAAGACTAAGGGACACCTGGGTGCCTCAGGTGGTTAAACATCTGACTCTTGATTTGGGCTGAGGTAATGATCCCAGGGTCATGGGGCCAAGCCTCTCTTTGGGATCCATGCTGCGCATGGAGCCTGCTTAAGATTCTTCCTCCTTCTCTCTCTCTTTCTCTCTCTCTCTTCGTGTATCCCTCTCCCATACTCACATTCTCTCTTGCTCTCAAAAAAACAAGAAAGAAAAAGAAAAAGGCTAAAATAATAATTCATTTGACAATGATTAGAGTTAGAAACATCAGTATAAACTCGTGATGATCTTAATGTAAATATAGATGTTTACATATAGAAATATTCAGGATTAGGGGATCTAGGTGGTGGGGATTAAGGAGTGTACTCATCATGGCGAGCACTGGAATAGCTGAATAATTCATTCAGTATATCAGTACATCAGCATATTGTACACCTGATACTAACATAACACTGTGTGTTAACTATACAGGCATTAAAATAAAATAAAAGATAACTATTCATACATATGTGTACACTATGAAATGAGGGGAAATGGTAACTTTGTAGCAGAGAAACTTGACAAATAGTACCTCCGCCCTATGACCAAGAGCACTATCAACAGTAGTAAATCATATTAATTTTACGTACCCTTAATATGATATGATGAAAATGACCCTTTACTGATAGTCTCATTCCTCCCAAAAACCCTTCATGCCAACCTAGTCATGAGAAAAATATCAGACAAATTCTAGAAGAACATTCTAAAAAATACTTAACCTATAATTCTCAAAACTTACAGAGGCCGCTTTTAGGCAAACAAGCTTGAGCAGTGGAATATAGAAAGGGCCCAGAGGGACCCCCTGGCTGGATATAGACTGACCCATCAGCCAGGCCAGAATTGGTCCAGTCACAGTAACCCAAGAGGGGAGAATTCCATATGTTACCATACCTTCTCACCTTCACCCTTTAAACACAGCCCCCATCCACTGCCTCCTTGCAGACAGATTCTCCTTTGCTGTCCTGCCCACCACTTCCTTGTGGTGTATTCAATAAACTTCTATCTCCTTTGTTTTATTGCAGGTGAATTATTTCACCTCTCATGCCACTAGCTTCCACTAGATCATTTCCCCACATTTGGGGACTCCCAATCTGATTGAGAGACACCGTATTTAGACCCCACAAAACAGTCAAAGTCATTAGAAATTAGAGAAGTCCAAGAAATGGTTAACAGCCATAGGAGCCTAAGGGTATAACAAATACAAGTAATGTGGTTTCCAGGATGAGCTACTGAAGCAGAAAGGACATTCGATAAAAACCACATAGGCTAAAGCAACTAAAAAAATAACCAAATAAATCCTTTTATATGCTATATATGGATATAATTCTTTTATATTAGGTTGCTTGGGATTTTAGAAGTGGATGTATTTTTATACTAATCATACCAAACTAAGAAAATTAAAGAAATCTCTACAATAAGCATACACAAACTAATAGCCTGTTAACACTTTGCAAAAATACCTACTTACTGAAGTAAAAAAAAAATACATATAAGGGGAAATTTATTCTACAAGATATGGGCTGATTTCAATATTGTATTTTATAAAGAAGTAATCCAAATGCAGTTCATGAATTTTCAAATAATATTCTATTTCCCTAACTTTTATTAATGTTATAGTTATATTTATCTAAACTGTGATATTACTCAGGAATCAAAGACTTTCTAGAATACCAAATAACACTTCTCAGGCTGCAAATTTATACCCTTATATTATCCACTATCACCATTCACCTCCTGTTCCAAAGGCTGATTTTCATACAAATCATGTGCTATACTGTAATTTGTGCTGCATATATATCATTTTTCTTTTTCATATTGAGATATTCATCTGATGTGATTGGGTTAAGGCTGACAGGGGGAAAAAGTAATAAAAATATATACAAAAGAAACACCAACAACGGGTAACCAGCTTTTCCAGTTTAAGATATAAAATGCTTTGTCATTTCCAGAGTGAAAATTAAAACCCTCTGAATCTGCCGTGTTCTTAAAACTGGAAGCCTGAATCCTTTCCATGGAAAAGCTTTCATATTACGAGCTCCTACTCACAGAGGACTGCTAACCAGCCTTTAGCTCCACCAGGGTTATAAAAGTATTAAACAGAGTGAGTTTTCATCAACTCTTTAAATAACTTAATAGCTTCTTTTCTTCTATTTTTATTTTTGCCTTATTTGAATGCTCATGTTTTCCTCATTATGATTCATGAGATATAATTCCTAGGTGACATTTAACAACTCCTTTAGGGACTGTAATGTAAATAAACCATGAAAGAAATAGTACTATCTACCCACAATGCCCTTTCTGATGCTCCAAATTTTGAAATTATGCCTGTATATGGGAAAGCAATATTATCCTGGAGTTTGTCTCCCTATATGTTATTGGCTCAGCCTTCAACAAAAATGGTTTCTCTTCTAAAATAGTTAAAAGAAGAACACAACCAAACACTCACCATTAGGTGAACTCATGAGTTAGGTCTCAGAGGGCTCATTGTTTCTGAGATGAACTGATCCGAAATTAAAGCTGCATTCCTGGAGAAAAAGGCAATGATTTAGAAATCCTCACAGGGCCTCTCCTTTTCCTGACCTTGTGTCTAAGAATTACAGCATTAAAAGTCTACAGAATCAAAAGCAAGTAACTCAGCTCCAGGGCAGCATGCCCTGTTTATGTTTGGGTGATAAAACTAGTCAAAGGGTAAATTGGAAGTATTGCTAACACTATCTAAATCATTTACTGTTGCTGGAAGCACCAAATTGTCATTACCAAAGACGTTACGGTAATATTTGCTAGTGAGAGGTTTTTAAAGCCACTTTTTAGCTTTAATTCAAATTGGAGACTTTTTTCCACTGTCAGTTTTGGAAAGATGTTTTGCAATCATTGCTTCCCTCTATGGCATAATTTATATGTCAACCATTATATGCTGGAATATATATTTCTATTAAGAGTGGCACATTGTTACAGGCTAAATTATGACGTCCCCAAATTCCTATGTTGAAGCCCTGCTCCCCAGTGTTACTGTATTTGGAAATAGAGCCTTTAAGGAGGTAATTAAAATTAAATGAGGTCATGTGGATGGGGTGCCGATGCAGTGTAATTTGTGTTTATTTAGGAAGAGACATCAGAGAGCTCATGCTCTCTCTCTCCCTGCTTGAACAGAGAAGGACTGGTGCAGACTCAAGGAGAAGGCAGTTATCTTCAGGTCAAGAAAGGAGTCCTCACTAGAAATCAAGTTGGCCAGCACCTTGATATTGGACTTCCAACATTTAAAACTGTAAGGAAATAAATTTCTGTTTTTTAAACCACCCAGTTCATGATATTTTGTTATAGCAACCTAAGCTAACTAATATTTATATCTATTGAGTGGTTAATGAAGATATATCTGTTTACTACACTTCTTTCTCAAAACCAGTTTCCCAAGCTCTTTTATTTAAACATTTACTCAGTGGTTTTTCTCCATTCATTAATCAAATCTTTTTTGCATGTTGTTTTCTTTCTCTTTCTTTCTTTCTTTCTTTCTTTCTTTCTTTCTTTCTTTCTTTCTTTCTTTCTTTCTCTCAAATGAGTGATCATAGGAAGTATAGAAACACTGTTATTATTCTATTCCTTCTTATTAGAAGAGACTGGTTTTGTTCTCATGTTTCTTTCTTACATCATAATTCTGTGGTAAAAGTGTGCTTGTTTAGAACTCTGAAAGTAATCCCCTTACTGTTAGTGGCATATTGGTGGGCATGTGAGACAGTCTCATCAATGAGATGTGATAGTAAATGTGCTAGGGAGGAAAATGCTTCATTAAAAGTTTCTGATTTTTAAAAGGGGAAACATAAATGAGTGGCCTTGGCCTTGCCTAATCATTACTGTCTGGGGATATGAAGTCTGGAACTATGTTAGCTTCTGGCAAATATGAGAGCCACTCTCTTAGATGGGAACTGATAAAAATGACAGAGGAGAAAGGTTAAAAATAATTTAGAAGTCTGAGGTTATTATTGAACCTTGAATTAAACAGAACTGGAGTTTTCTTATGTACTGGCATTTTGCTAGGCAAGATGATAAATCCCTTCTTGTTTAAAAAGAACAGAGTTGAATTTTAGTAATTGTATCTGAAAATTACATCCTAATTTGTAGATACAGTCAGAAATTAAAATCCTTTTTGTACACTTACTTAGGTTATCTTCATCATAAAGCTTTTGTAAATAATTTTAATTGTTTAATCTATTCAATAAATACCTTTCACATTAGAGATAGAAACAGATACTTCGTGTTAAATGAAACCTATTTCAGTAAGATCAATACATAAAATTGCTTGTATATAAATCTCTGGGAATGATATGTAAGAAATAAATAACAGTGTAAGGTATGCTGAGAACTAACAAAGAAGTCAAGGGTAGAAGGAAGACTTCTCACTTTATACAATTTTTTTATTATGAGATTTTAGAAATTTGTAAATATATTAAATGGGTTTACATTTTTTTAATCTTTATTTATTTTTGAGAGAGAATGGGTATGTGAGTGGGGGAGGGGTGGAGAAAGGGGGGTGACAAACCATCCCAAGCAGGCTTCACTCCAGCAGCAGAGATCCCAATGGAGGGCTCAGGTTCACAAACTGTGAGATTATGACCTGAGCCAAAGTTGGATGCTGGATGCTTAACTGATGGAGCCACCCAGGTGCTCCTAAACCAGTTTAAATTTTTTTTTAAGTAGGGTGTGCCTGGGTGGCTCCATCAGTTGAGTGTCCAATTTGGCTCAAGTCATGATCTGACAATTATGAGTTCAAGTTGGAGCCCCACACCAGGCTTCGGGTGTCTGCTTGGAGCCTGTTTCTGATTCTCTGTCTCCCTCTCTCTCTCTGTGCCCTTTCCCCCTTGTACTCACCCTCTCTCAAAAATAAATAAAAATGAAAAAGTAAGACTAAGGAGGCTGTTAAAAAATCAGATATTTAAGGGAAATAAAAATTAAAAAGTTACTAAAAACATTAACATCTTGATTTTATACACAAGGCTTCTATATGTATTGAATGCAACTAGAAGGATATCATGAAAAGTGTTTTGGTAGTTTTCCTCATCAACCCGTACCACTTTAAATTTTCTAATTTAACAATAGATTTCTCTTACATTTTATGACCTTCCTGATTCCTATTGTGCTTCCTAAATATCTTCATACAGAAATGTGTCTAGACTGTGGTCAAGAATTACAGTATATAAAAGGAGAAAAAATGTTTTTCCAGTATGTACTTAATACAGTACACTAAAGGTGAAAGATTACTCACATAATTATCATCAAGCCAACAGGTGCTATCTTTATTGACGATTCTAATCCCAAGCAGTCATATGGAGGATTATGTTGGTACCTGATCTGGTAGCTTATCTAAGTGGACCTTGATGAATATTGGATAGTTATTTAGCTTTCTAATATGTTTTAAAAATTAGTAATTATCTAAAAAAATCCCATTAATCCATTACATCAAATTAATATAATCAACTATAATGCCTAATACTACCAGTTCATAGTGAAATTAACACATTTAAATTTTACTGATGGCAGCAATTTAACATTTATGTAAATATCCACATAATAAAAACCATGGTTATAAATCATAAAATTATCCTCATGTGTAAATTTATACAATGGTAATCAGAGAGCACAAAATAAAAAAATATATATAAGAATTTAAAATTTTTTTAAAAATTCACAGTAGCATATTACAGAAAATATACATCTATACATATATATATAAATATAATATAAATATATATGTCTAGGAAGGGACAAGAAAGAAACAATGGAAAAGGGAAATTATTCTTAAATTTTTTTTTTAATGTTTTATTTATTTCTAGGAGAGAGAGAGAGACAGCGTGAGCAGGGGAGGGTCAGAGAGAGAGGGAGTCACAGACTGAAACAGGCTCCAGGCTCTGAGATGGCAGTCAGCACAGGGCCCGACGCGGGGCTCGAACCCACGAACCGTGAGATCATGACCTAAGCGAAAGTTGGATGCTTAACCGACTAAGCCACCCAGGCGCCCCGGGAAATTATTCTTATAAGGAAATTCTCAATTTATTCTCAAATTATTCTCTAGGAAATTATGACTTACTGAAGATTTTGGTGACTTTTAAGTGTATATGTTAATTATAATGTTGTCTACACAAGAGGCAGATTATATATTGTTAAAATTGCCCTTAACAAAATATATTTATGCTTTTAAACTTATCAAATACATTTTATGCTAAATTTTTAGCAAAGCCTATTGTTTTATGTTAATAGTCAGTGGATTTAAAACAAGCAACCCATGATACGCATGGAATGAGACAAACCCTTGTAACTAGTGAATTTTCTTCTACCCACAGACCTTCCACTCATTTGTGCTATATTAAATAGCTGATACAAAATGAATAACTCCTCTATACCTTGACTTTTTCCTTTCATAAGTGTTTTTGCATCCCCCTTTGTCTTTGTTGAAAGAGCTTTTGTTGAAACCTCTTGCATGTCTTAGGTAAAAATTGCCAATAGTTTCCAAATCACAACATCTTCTAATAGTATTATGGATTCTGAGGCCTATCCCACTCACAGTGGTTTATATTAGGTTCTATTCCACTCATAATGAATTATCTTCTCATACATCACTATCTTCTCAGGAAGATATATAACTTAGAAGTAAAATAGGGAAGTCTTGAGGGGCCAAGAACTAGGAGAGAGGGACAAAAATGTGAAAGTAACACTCATGAAATATTCTTCTTGAGGTATATACTGCTTATAAAGCTGTAGGTGGGAGAAGGGGCTAATGAGCTGACTTGGCTATGAGACTGAGAAGAGTTTTCAGTCCTCTTATGTTTCTTGTGACCTGCGGTACACAGAGGCCTGTGGACTAAGATTAAGGGTGAACCAAAGAGAACAGCTTTCAGCAAGACTTAAAAGCAGTTATAAATAGCTCAATCCCTGGTTTCTATGAACTATAGCTAACGTATTTCTTGACAGAAGAAAAAGTAAATTCCCTCTGTGGGAAAATAACATTATCCAGAGTCTATAATATCTCAGATTTTCATTCTCATAAAAATTGCCCAGCATTCAAAAATACTTAGACATACACACACTCAACAAAACAAAACCACACTCAAAGAAAGAGAAGAGAGAGAGAGAGAGAGAGAGAGAGAGAAACAGATTTATAAAGAATCTATATGCTGGCATCTTTGGAAACATATTTTAGATTATTGAAATTATAATATTTAACAAATTAGATAATATGGAGAATTTCAGAAGCTAATTTAAAATTTTAGAAAATCAACTGAAATTTTAGAAGTGAAAGATCTAATGAGAATTAAACAGATGAGCAGAATAACATTAAATCAGAAGAGAACCCGAGGACTATAAAACTAAAAGGTATTAAGAGTTAAATAATCTAACTTAACAAAAAGAGAAAATGCAGAGAACATCATAGAGGTCATATAGCACATGATGAAAATGCTGAACATTTGCTTCCTTGAAGTCTCAGAAAAGGACGCAGATGATACAAAGAAATGTTTAGTAAGATAATGGCCAA